CATATTGGTTGGCTATGAAAGGCAGAGAGCGGAATAGGCTTTGCTCTCAAGTCTATAGAAAAGTTGAAGTAGTTGTTCCTTCATATTTATAAATATTTTATTTTTAGGGTGACCATATTAATAATAATTTGCTCTTAAATGTGTAATTTCATAACTTCCAGTCCAGTCGGGTATTTGGCAGTCGTGCATAGCCCACTGCAACGTACTTAATTGTTTTTTGTTTTGTTTTGTTTTGGGCCATTGTTGTGCCAACTTTGACACCCCAGCCGCTGGCTGTTTAGAATTTGTCGGCGCTTTGTGTCTCGCTCTCGCTCGCTCTCTGTACCTATCTCTGTCTCTCGATTGTAGAACAGGAACAAGAACAAGCATATCATGTTATTTTTCAAATTACCAATTTGTGACGTTTATTGTGGGTGATACTCGATACACACACAGAGACACACAGTCACACACACACACACACACCTCAGTATGTGTTTATTTAAATCTGAGCCGATGGCTTTATTGACAGCCCTGTCTCATGTCAGAGCTGCCAATGAAATATGGTTCCGAGCAATTGGCTAAATGCGGCACAAAAAAGCCTTTTGTTCGCAGCGGACATTGTAATAAAATTTCGAATTTGTAGGCTATTGGAAACTCCGTCAGAACTCTGTTCAGAGCTTGTTCGCATTGTTGTTGCTGCCATTGCACAGATAGATTTAATTAAAAATTGTACAAAGTCTGTTAGCGCAATACGTTGCCAGCAGGAAATGTGAAACGGAATAACCCAAATGATCTAATTGCCGCTGTTATCCAAGACAATCTCTCCCTCTCTCTCTTTCCCTGGAGGATGTGGGCATTGTCTCGCAACGCTGGCCTGCTAATGGATAATGAATGAAACTTGAATAAATCGATACATTTATTCCAAATAAATTTCATACTCTGTACAGTTTGTGTATATAGTAAATCTATTTAATTGACAGAGATAGCTCGAAGTATTTACTGAATCCATTTTAGACCACTTTTGTCTACGTTCAATAGGGCAGAAGTTATTATAGATGCAATATTTAGGTTGAGGTCCTTTTGGTAGTTAATAATTTAGTTAATAAATTTAGTATTGTAGTTATTTTTTCTAAATTTTAAAAGTAAAAAAACGTTATGTATTTAGGAAACATATTTATGAAATCATTTAATGAAATCGAAAATGAAAATGTTCTTGCTTATGAATATATATATGAATGATATATATCGCAAACTGTACAAGTTTCTGTTGGAGAAAATCTTGTTGAGTCATTAAGCTAAGTTTGTCTGTTTGTTTGGGCTGCTTGTTTGGCCCTGTCGATATCAGTAAAGTGAAAAAGCTAAAAACTTTAGACTTAAGTTATAACTCTTGTAAATTCAATGCAGCACAAATTTATAATTTTTTTTCGATAAAAATCGATATTTTGTCTTAGTTATTTTAAAGGTCATATGAAGACTAAACTGATATTTACATGGATTTCTAATATTGCAAACTACATTTACTTCTTATAAAATTGAAAAGAATCTGTCACTTTGTTGAAAAAGTAATTGTAGTTCGTATTATTATGTAAATACGAGTGTAAGCTGGCAACGCCATATAAATTATGTAATAGATACTTTCTGCTGAATATTCAATACACGCTTGAGCGACCCACTTCGTTTCATTATTGCAGCGCACAGTAAGCTCAGCATTACTAAGAGTTTTCTTCTTTGCCTCATATATTCATATAACTGTAAATCATATTTGATGAAGCTCAGATAGCTGCTAACTGGATGCAGTTCATTCCATACGTGAGAGATCAGCGAGCAGCAGCTTGGCTCAGGGGTTCAGGATTACTGTTCACTACTGATTTAATTCCTAAGTTAATCAATATATATTATATATATGACATAGACATTTAATAAGATATTTAATAAGCAAAAAGCATTATATTTTGCATAAAATTTTTTCCTTTATCATCGACTACAATTTTTCGATAAATTTTTCAGTCATTTATCAGCGCAATAAATTAATTTCTTTTAATTGATTGAAGTTGATTTCGTTGTGCTGCTTCTACATTTGTTTAATAACCAATTAAGGACTTTTGAAATGTATCTAATTTTATAAAATTTATGACATCAGTTCAAAAAAAGTAGGAATGAATTTTTGAGGGCCATAAAGAAGGAAAAAAATGTTGGCACCAGGCTAAGCGCCGAGGCTAAGCATTTATGGTCTATAAATAGCTGCGATTGGCTGATATACAACAGCCCCCACAGCCCCGCCCCGTAGTCAAAATGCAGCATGTTTAGCACTGTTAACAGATTTAATGGGTTTTTTATTGAGTCACTTACAGCAGCTGCGACCGAGCCTGTTGAATCACTCTCTGTTTCGTAGTCCAGTTTGTGCAGCCGTGGAATGCCGGGTGAAGCACCCTTCGTAGGCCTAAGATAGTGGAGAGGGGTGGGGCGAAAAAACCACCAAAGCTTTACAATAACTGCTAACTGCACAATGTTTGAGCTAAGTTTTTAGCGCTAACAATTAACAGCTAGCAGTGAAAAGCTAACACTGAAAATCACTCATACGCTCGGTGCGCCAGCAATTAAAACATAAAAATTGTATTAACATCGTGACTGGCTGAAAGAGGAAAAAATAAATAAATAAATAAATGGCAAAGACGACGACGTCAATATCGTATTGGCATTGCATGGTTAGAACTAGTCACGCCCCCTCCACATGCCCCCGCTGCCCCCTGCCGCCCCTTACCGCCTGCCACTGCTCGCCTAACAAACCCAAACACCCTCAGCGTGTCGATCTCTTTAGCTCTGAGCTAAAACTGCAAATCGGAAAATCCAGAATGAGCTGTTAAATTAATAATAAGCGCACAACACACACACACACTTGCTCACACACACTTATGTATGTGCCCCTCTGGCGCTTGGTACACCTTGCGCCACCCGCCGGAGCACGGGCCACTGCTGTGAGCTTAATGAAAAACCAGTTTACCAACATTCAGCATTCACTCAGAGGCAAAATCGTAGATGTTAAAAAAAGAATGAAAAATAAGTAAGAAAAAAAAAACTAAATTAACGGCCGCAGCAAACGCAGCTGCAAAGCAAACGAACAATTTATATTTATTGCAGTGCAGCAATTAAGACAGGTAGAAATCGAGTGTATATATAGAGTATACGTAGTGTGTGTAACTAGCTGGAATGCTCTAGAGAATGTCTTGGGACAGACTTCTTACATTGTCTGTGCCTGCGAGACACTCTGTCTTGGCTTACTCGCATCAGAAGTAGGAATTGATTGTCTATATAATAATATAGCAGATGTAACTGGCTTTGAATTGGAGCATGTCTGGGAGAATGTCCTGGGACAGACTTTTTGCATTGACTATGCCTGCGAGACACCCTGTACTCCGTCTTGGATTACTCGCAACAGATTAGGAATTTTTGTGTATATTAGAATATAGCAGGTGTAATCAGCTTTAAGCTGAAGCATGCCTTGAAGTTGACTTATTCTGGAGTTTACAATATGCTTAGCCATGGACACCCTGTATATTTTACTTAGAGCTTTTTAGAGCATAGCTGGTTGTCGATAGAGTGCTTTAGAGAATACCTTGTGTTAGAGCTGTAAGTTAGTTTGTGCCAAAGAGACACCCTGTAGGCCTTATAAACTAATATTTGAGTCCAGTGTGCACAGATGGATTCTATATGGAATCAGATCGATTGCAAGATCGAATATTTTGGTATAGGCTTCTTAAGAAGTCCACCTATATATATACATCTCTAGCTTAAATGATATAGAGACTCTATTGGGATAGACTTCTTTGTCTAATATATGTGTCTATTGCTTAGACACTGACACCCTGTATTCAATGTAAGTACTTTTCAGCAGAGCTAGGTATCAAGTGTGCGATTTGACTAGAGTTACTTGTGAGTCATTCTTTATGAAGTTTCGGTTAGCTTGTTTATAGACAGCCTGTATAAAATGGTATAAATGTAGTCTCTGAAGTTGTCTTTGACTTGAAGTAATTCTGCTTGCAAGCAGCTGGAAATAGCCCAATATCAACTTTTCTGTTTACTAATAAGCACCCTGTAATCTACATAAAAGTACCCTAGAACAATACCCTGTACTTTCAATCAAAGGGATTTTGGAGCCAGAGATTTTGACTCAACTCTTTCTCTAGAACGCGATCCTTATCAAGCCATGCCCAGTAAGTGTTTTCCCTTACGAATGAAAGCAATTAAAATAAAAACTCAAAGAAGGGAATATACATTGTTCGATCTGAAAATCTACAAAAGCAATTTACGATGCGCTGCGATGCGATGTGAAGGGGGCGCACAGCTGAGAAATAGTTTGATTTGGATCTCGCGTCATTGTTTGCTGCTCATATAAGTGAGGAGAAAAATAAAAAAAGCACATGATTCTCATTGTTGTTATTAGTTTAGGTTCAAATGCCTGTGCAGCTCCCCGCTGCTGCCCGGCACTCGGCACTCGGCACTCAGCCAGCCCTCTTGAGGCTGAGAGCTGTTGTTGGCTCATTTGGGCATTGGGTTTTTTTGTATTTTGCATTTGTGACGTCACAGCTGGCGTTCAGCTGGATTCACAGTCACAGTCCATGGGTCGGCGAGGCGTTTGTGAATTGATAAATGTGAAAATCGATGCGATTTTGAGCTTAGTACAGATCTTGCTGTTGTCGGAAGAGCGCCGCGAAACGCTTTGGAAACTTAAGGTTAACATTAAGAAAACAAAACTTACAAACTTAGCCGCATTTTTAGGGCAGCTAGGTAGGTGCCAGAGCCAGCCAGCTTAAAATTAGAAAGGCAACAAAAAAATACAAAAAATTAAAATCAACTTTAGAGCTCGGCTGTAAATGTGCTAATTAAACAGTGGCTCACTTTGAGCAATATATAATTTTTGATTAAGGCCCAATTAGCAGGCCATTTGGAGTTTGGAATTTGGAATTCGGAATATGGCGCCCTAAAACTGACCAAGTTCTTTGTTCGCTTGCCTTTTGCAGATGCCGCACAGCTGTAGCACTCAGTTCAAGTTAGCCGCAGAACAGTTCCAGACGGACTCCTATGCGGCCTATGCCTATGCCGACAACTTTGACTTATCGCTGCTGCCGGAGGACGCGGGCATACCCACCACAGTTTACCAGTACAACGCGCCGCAGATCAAAGTCGAAAGCGCCTGGGAGATACAGGAGCAGCCACTGAGTGCTTCATACCCTCCAGCCAACTCTAGCTCCAGCTCCAGCTCCAGCTCCAGCTCCAGCCATCAGCTGATACCGCCGCCCGCCTATCCGCACAGCGCTTATCCCTCACCGCAGTCGAGTCCGCAGCAGTCGGAGTTTGCCTCGTTCAAGTACGACTGTTTGAGCAGCCCGTGCCCCTCGCTGGATGCAAGCAGCATCAAGCAGGAGCTGCACATATTGCCACCCTCGCCGCCCGAGTCCAATTGCGAGACGCCGTCGCCACGCAGCGATAGCAACAGCAGCAGCATCAAGGCAGAGCCACTGGATGCCGAGTTGGATAGCTACTTAGATTTGAACACGCTGCAGCAGCAGCAGCTGCTGGACATCAAGCCCAATCATCAGGTGCTGCGCGAGTGCCTCGAAGACACAACATTCCAGCGCAAGCACAATCTGAAGCCCCTGGCGCTGGAGTCCTTCATTGGCGGCTTAGCTGAGGTGCGAGGCGACTTTGAGCCGGTCATATCTCTGGCGCTGGAGCATGCCAAACGTGAGGCAGACGCCATATGCGCACAGCTGCAGATATCGCAGGGTATGTAGAGAGGGAGAGAGAGAGAGGGAGAGAGATTGTGATTATCTTGTTTCTTTGTTTTGGCCAACAGATCCCAATGCCTGGACGGCTGCCCAGGTACACGCATGGCTACGATCCACCTTGGCACAGTTTAAGCTGCCGCCAGTTGACAATTTGGAGCTGCAGTTCAGCGAAGATGGCGCCGCGCTGGCATTACTCAGCGAGGAGGAATTCCAGCGACGATTGCCCGAGGTAAGCAGCGCGCCACTCTCAATTCAATGTGACTTACCCAACCGCCAAGTATTACAAAATCGAGGGTAGCTAATAAGCATAATACAAGAAGAGCAGACAATGCAAATGCCAAAAGCAAAAGGCAAAAGCCAGAAAGCAAAACGAAGCCAAACAAAATACCAATCAATGCGATTGAATTGAATTTCGCGTACGAACTTGGTTTTTAGGTGAGAAAACATAGAGAAAGAGAGAGGGAAAGAGAGAGAGAGCTAGAAGGAGAGAGTGGGAGAGAAACACTTTATATGAAATACAAAAAAACAAAACAAGTTTCGTAACTTGGCGTTGACGTCATGGCCCAGGCTCGACCAAATCGGAAAGCAAACCTGTTGCCAACAATTAGGCAAAAGGCAAAAAAAAAAAACAAAAACAGAAACTAAATAAATAATATTGTGGCTTGTGGCATCCATAACTACTCCAAATGCGGTCCCCCAAGCCGCAAAGTCGAGCCCCACCGTCGAGTGCCCATCTCAGCACTTTGCCAAAAATATAAAAATGATTACATTTGTCATATCAAATGATTTGGAGTCATCACTGTTTGTTTTGAGTGCAGCTAAATGAAAACAAAAGACTGAAGCAACGAACGCAACGCACACCGAATCAAGCAGACGAGCCACAGAGGCAGAAAGAGAGTGGGAGTGGGAGAGAGAGAGGCAGAGAGCGTACGAAATTAGTAACCGTGGTCATGGCTGTAAAGGTGAAAGAATGTGTGAAGGTTGTTTGGTGAAACTGCAAAGCATTCGCTTGATTACGAGCCGCAGTCTCGGACTCAGTCCCAGTGCACACAGTGGGGCAAATGTGACAAGTTATGTGCTATCGAGTTTTGTGAAAGAAGAGAGAGGAGTCTGTTCTCTACATCGTAACTTTGGCTTAAATATGGAAGCTGAGGCGTTATTTCATGTGATATATAAAAAGGTTTTTACGAATAATATATTGAAAATATAAAATAATTAGCTTTATATATATACTATCTGTACGAGAAAGCAATATACAACTCTTAAGGTGAATGCAGGTATTTGAAAGAAGCATTCACATAGGCCAAGAAACAGACTTGAGAAAGACTGTTTTAAGAAATAATGGAATATGTAGAATAACAAAAGGTCCCGAATTGGAAATAGGGGTTTTCAGTTCTGAAATATTTTTTGTTTAAATATTTTTGGTAATTTTTATAATTTAATTATTAAAAAAATGATTCTATATGGATTGTAGTCTTCGTATATATTATTTATATATGTATATGTGTATTCTATATTTGTATATGTATATGTATATTTTATATACATATATATTTATATATATGACTCTACATGTCTGTTCGCTCGTCTTTTAGTGGATTATGTATTTTTATACTATATAATACTCGATTATTTAAATATGTATGATTATAGCAATTCAAAAATTAATTTCCTGAATTTCAAGAATCTCATTGAAAATATTTTTTCATGTCTATAGATGCTATAGATTTGTAAAAATGCTTATAGAATAATATATTTTAGCTATATGTTTTTTGCATTTCCAAAATTGTAATTTTTGTGCCACTGTGCACCACGGCAGCTATAGGTACAGCCACAGCTCGAATGACAGTGGAGACGACGTCGCGACGGCAACGGCAACGGCAATTGAATTGAGCCAACGACCAGCAACGACATTGCAAGGTGAAAGTAAGTCGCAGCGGTTGTTGCTGTTGTTGTTGCTGCTGTTGTTTAGCCACTTGCTATGTTGTTGTTGTTGCAACTGCAGACAGCACACAATTTATGCGAGCAGTTAGCAGTTAGAATTTGAATTGATATGCGCCGTCTAGATTGGTCAGCTTTGGTGGGAGAGATAAAGAGAGATTGAGATTTATGTGAGATGTACGCTGGGCCCAATCGATATTTATCCAAGTGGTACGCTTTCTTTCTTTCTTGCTGTCTTCTAGAGCGGCAGCACGTTGCACGCACAGCTGGAGATATGGAAGATGGCCTATGCAGATCAGCTGGGCAATGAAATGGAGGCCACAGCACCAGCTGCTAATGATATGCTTTGGGGCTATCAGGCGCCCAATGTGGAACAGGACGAAAGCGAAGGTGAGTTGCTATAGAAAGTTTATTGAGATATGCATCTACATCTGAGTCGCTCTTCTTTTGACAGATGATGAGGACATGGAGCCAGCTGTGCTGATAGCCACGCCCACACCGGCGCCTGCCAAGCGCTCGGGCGGCACACGCAACGGCGGCAGCTCCCACATTCACCTGTGGCAGTTTCTCAAGGAGCTGCTTGCGGCGCCGCAGGTGAATGGCACAGCCATACGCTGGATAGATCGCAGCAAGGGCATCTTCAAGATCGAGGATTCGGTGCGAGTGGCTAAGCTGTGGGGCAGGCGCAAGAATCGGCCGGCCATGAACTACGACAAGCTCTCGCGCTCCATACGCCAATACTACAAGAAGGGCATCATGAAGAAGACGGAGCGCTCGCAGCGCCTGGTCTACCAGTTCTGCCAGCCGTACCATCAGTGAGCCCGTGGAACCAGTTCCATTTAACTAGTTCTAAGTGTATTTATTTTGGTAGCCGTAAGCCCGTAACCCCACCAACCAGCACAAACTTTGCCCCGCAACTATGCTCGACTAGGCCACAGAGTCTAGCGAGTGTTAGTGCCTGTATATATATTTATCTATATCTCACTCTATATGTATATCTATATCTATATCTATATATATACATATATATATATATATACGTCTATGTAGCACCGTTTAGGCACGAAGGTAAGTTCGTGCATCTAAGTTCGACTCGTCTTGAGTTCGTCTCTAGTTGTTTAGGCTCAAGCCAAAGGCAGTCGGCGAAGGTAAGTTCGCCCTGTCGCGGCTTTAAGTTAACTCTCAATCAATCAATCAATTTTTTATATTGCATGTGGGCGTGGCAGCTAACTGCATATGTTTGACTTACCGGCGACATCTTTATTCAAATGTTGACTCTGCCAGTGTTTGCGCCCGTCACGATTTCCCCTCGCTTCGAGCCCTGTTTACGCTTGTTTTGTTGGCGTGTGCCACAGCTCGCTTCGGCTGCTGGACACACATAAGACCAGCACAAGCTTGGGCCGAGGCGTAACGGGCGTGGCATTTGGGGGCGGCAAGCACTGAGCACAGCAGCAGCTGAAGGTGTTGCGGTAATTTTAGGAACCATATATCTATGATATATCAAAAGTAAGTTCTATGAACAACAAAACAAACGAACAATTTGTAACGAATATGAATATGTAATGAATTAGTGAGTAAGCAGTATGAATATCAATATGAATATAATTTATAAATATAATATACGTTGTATACAATATGAATATGAGTATGAATACCAATTTCGAATATCGCATATTGATATGAATATGAATATGAATATAAATATGAATATTCATATGCGTATAGATTTATATTGAATAAAAATATGATTATGAATATGAATATGAATATGAATATGAATATTAATATGCGTATAGATGAGTATTTATATTGAATATGAATATGATTATGAATATGAATATGAATATGAATAAGAATATGAATATGAATATGAATATGAATATGAGTATGAATACGAATATGAATATGAATATGAATATGAATATGAATATGAATATGAATGTGAATATGAATATGAATATGAATATGAATATGAATATGAATATGAATATGAATAAGAATATGAATATTAATATGAATATGAATATGAATATGAATATGAATATGAATATGAATATGAATATGAATATGAATGTGAATATGAATATGAATATGAATATGAATATGAATATGAATATGAATAAGAATATGAATATGAATATGAATATGAATATTAATATGCGTATAGATGAGTATTTATATTGAATATGAATATGATTATGAATATGAATATGAATATGAATATGAATATAAATATGAATATGAATATGAGTATGAATACGAATATGAATATGAATATGATTATGAATATGAATATGAATATGAATATGAATATGAATGTGAATATGAATATGAATATGAATATGAATATGAATATGAATATGAATAAGAATATGAATATTAATATGAATATGAATATGAATATGAATATGAATATGAATATGAATGTGAATATGAATATGAATATGAATATGAATATGAATATGAATAAGAATATGAATATGAATATGAATATGAATATAAATAATGAATAATGAATAACTAAAAATAAAAAGTTAATACCGAATACTCTTCAATAGTGAATAATGAACAATAGATGAAGAACAATGAATCTATAAAGAATAATGAGTAGAGATTAAGTAATAATAATTAATTTTTATGCCTAGTTTGTAAGCACAATTTTCTGTTTTATTTAGTCGTAAAATTCTTGAAAATTTTTTCTCTTCTCCAAACGAAAAGTTAAAAAATTTTCGACCATATTTTCCCTAATTTTTGGAACATTTTCCCACAATTAATCATAATTTATCTCTGGTTCAAATGGTGTTGGTTCAATTACTTTGCAATGTGTGCGACTGTTTGTGTGCGTGTGTTTGTGTGTGTGGATGTTAGCCAGTTAATTTTATTATTTATTTTCGGTTAATATTTAAACAAAAGTCAATTGTTATGCGATTTAATTATTTATGTTTTGTATTGCGCAATTTGCGATTGCAATTTGCATAGCTTGCGGCTTGGCTTATTTGTTTTGTTCAATAATTTTTTGTGTAATGTTTATCACATTAGTATAAACACATTCAATTTATTCACATAGTTTAAATGCAAATTTGCATAGACATAGATAAATATGCTTAGTTATAGACACAATTATAATGATATTGTTTTTTGCTGAGCGTCATTTTGCACTCGATTTGCGTTCAATGTTTTATTTATTAAGATTTTAATTTTTATTCCTTTACGCATATGCAAAACTATTTATTTATTTATTTAACTAACATATTGTCATGCTCAAATACTTTATTTCCAGAAAAATAAATATTACACAAAATTTAAGAATTTAATGCATTTGTGAGAAGTTCAGACATTGAACTGGACCTGCGCCCAAAACTTATATTATTTGTCCAAGTTTAAATTGAAGTTTTAGTTGCTTTTGCTGGAAATCCCCTCAGACTTGCATACCAAATTAAAGCAAGCCTTTTTTGTTGTTGTTGTTTGTTCAGGATATAATAAGGATTTGCACTGTTAATGAATACAAAAATCCTTTAAAGCGCTTGTAAAG